CTGCATCTCCATGATTGCTACTGCATCTGTCTTTACAATAAAGGTCGAGCCTTAGGCTGTGGTCACACCAAGAATTTTTTTCCCAATTCTCTCCCTTCGAGAATACATCTCTCCCTTTGATTTTGCAATTTAAATTTGTGGTCACATGATGCATGGCTATTAGTGAATCTTACCCAGCAAAAGTGCTAACTGCGGATCATTTCTTCTTTGGCCAGAGGCTTCTAATTTTTTTGTTGCAAATCTTTTTTTTTTTAAAGTTACATTGTGGAGTGTGTATAAGATCTTATCACAACTTTTTTGAACTTGTCATTTGAAGTTTCAAATGTCTGAAATTAAAATGTTTTCAATTTTTTTTAAAAAAAAATTCCCCATTTGTGTCAAAGTGTCGGTTAATCTCTGTCAAACTGTCTTAACAAGAAGCTGTAGGCACTTGTTGAATTGGAAAGAAATGACTTGGTAACCCCAAAACATATTGGGACTCACGTCCTGGAATAAATGCCATGTGACCTCAAAGCAGACAGCCGCTCAGAGTGGTCGCATAGACCAGATGAGCGGGATACAAATAAAATAAAATAAAATAAAATAAATAAATAAACAAGCAAGCAAGCAAGCATGACAGGAATGTAATTAAAAGTCCCATAACCACAAGGGGACATTTGGCTGGTGTGACCATGGCCTTACATTGTTGTTAAGTTCTCTACCATTGTTATGGAAATTTAATATTTACTATTTGTCACTTGCCTCCAGATTCTCTGGATAATTATTTTTGATGGCATCTCTGTTGTAGAAAATTTGCTGCTGTTACCTCAAGTGTCATTGTTATTATGATAAGTATGCCTCATTTCCATTTGCTTCCCTTTGGGCATGCAGATAATGGCTTTTTTATATGCTTGGGATCTGAGGAAGTGGACTAAAATCTCAAAAAGCTTCTGCCACATGGACTAGTCTTCAAGGTGCCACAAGATGCTTTGTTGCTTGTTCTCTTTTATAATGTCATACCTCTCAAGGGAATGCAGAGAATAGTGTACATCTTAGGGACAACTAACTTGTGTCTTACATTTAGGAGAAGTGCTTTACTTCAGATTCTGCAAAAAAATTCTGGGCTGGTGAAACTGACTGACCCAAATTGTTGTTGTTGTTGTTTAGTCATTCAGTCGTATCTGACTCTTCGTGACCCCATGGACCAGAGCATGCCAGGCCCTCCTGCCTTCCACTGCCTCCCAGAGTTTGGTCAAATTCATGACAGAAATTAAAGTATGTCAATTAGAGTAGAGCTGAGCAAGGCTGAAAAAGTGGGGGAAGAGATGAGGGACATCACCCATGGTGACTGAAAAAAATGCAGGAGGGTGTCTGTGTTAGTCTGTCATAACAAAAATAGAACACAATTTACAGTGCCTAAAAAACTGTGGACTGAATTAGTCTTTGTCAGATGCATGATGAAGAGGAATGTGGCACACGAAAGCTTTAGTCAAATAAAATAGGCGTGTTTTTAAGGTGCCTTAAAACTTTTCACTGCTTTCTCTCAGAATAAAGCATTCTCTAAAGGAGTGGTTAGCAGACTACAAACTTGGAGGCTCTACTTCATGCATTGTGTTGTTGTTTTTTACTAAAAGCCTGTGTTTTTATAGTGTTTGCAAGTCAACATACTGGAATGTCTGCACACTGCTTTGCAAAGGTTTCCAAAGGAAACAAGCAGGAAAGTGAACAGATAAATGCTCATTAGGAGATTTGTCTCAGATAGCACATCAAGCCAGTAGCCGAATAGAGCCTGCAAGGATGAGTCTTAATGGGAGTTGCTTCTTCTAAAGTGCATCTGACACCTGCAAGTCACATGCGAATTCAGCGTGATGCTAGTCCGCTTCACTGAATGATCCTTGCTTGTTCCAATAACAGATCAAGCATTTGTAAAGTCAAAGTGGAAGGCAAATGAGGGATTAGAAAGGGACAGCTGTATAAAAACTTCCTCTGAAGTTGAACCTCATGCTTAGTTTCTGGTAAGCACTCTCTGCAAGAGTAAGAAGCTACTCCTGACCACCAGCTGGCACTATTTCTTGAATGTGCTTTTCAGATACTAAAGCCAAGAGGAAACCTGTATCCCCGAGAGGGGTAGCAGCAGAAGCTCTAAACACAGAACACCCTCCCTGATGCCTGAAAGGATCAGGGGATGGCAAAACGCTGCCAGAAGGGAGCAATCCCTTACATTACATGCTCTGCCACATTGCTTTGTTGAGGACTGCAAGAAAATAGTTTTTGATACCTTCACAGGTATAAAATAAAGGACAACCGCTTCCACCCTTGGTTGCATCCACAGATTTTTCTTGCAAACTTTCTGCTGCTGCCCTGCCATGACAAGCGTCTGATTCAGGAGAGAAGCAAAAACACAGGTACCTTTTATAACACGTGGTGTTTCCTGGGACAGCAGCATGCAAGGGACACAAGAATATGGAGACTCTGTAAAACTGGAAGTTAAACAAGTGTACCAAAGTGCCCAAGAATAAAGTCATGAGGCTAGACCTCAAGCTTTCTATTTTTTTTCCCCGTCCACAGCAAACCAGTAGTCCCTGGCTTAAAATTAAAAGCAAAATCTTGGGTTTATAGTTTGGAAAGGAAGTGAAGGCTTTCATTGTACTTATAACGGAATATTGTATGGTAGTGAAGGGTTATGCTTTTCATATTTTTAAGATCCATTAGTTAGCTACATTTATATTTTACCTTTCCACTAATGAGCTTAAGGTGACATCTTTCCCCTGCCCTTATCACTACAACAGCCCTGTGAGGTAGTCTGAAAAAGAGTGAGACTGGCTCAGGAGCACCTTATAAGTTTCATGAGCTGGTGCAGATTTGGGTTCAACACTCTGATCACTGCTATGAGGTGAGCTGAGCCAAACCCAAGTATTTCCACTTGAACAAGCTTTTTTTACTTATGGCCAGTTATCTATATGCATGCAAAAAAACCTTGCAAGACAACACAGTGTGGCCTTAAGCATGACAACCCCAAGGAAATTCAGTCCAGCAGGACTCATTCATTACTCTTATGTGGTTCGGAGAGAAGTCAGAACAGTACTTTGGGTGCTTTAAATTAATACTATATGAGTTAGGCTGAAATCTGGCTAGTATAGCTCTATATGGTATAACTTCATTGAATAATTAATTATATGGAGTCCTAATTTTAACTTTATACCTAACCTGGTCAACATGCACAGGTTTCCCAAACAGCCTTAAAAAAAAATAGACCACCCCCCCCCAAAAAATAACCCTGAGCTGGACGACTGAGATACTTTTATTTCCAAGAATGTCAAACATTATGCTTGTAAAAAAGTTTTCTGATGCCCAGTTTACAAAAGAGGCAATGGGATGGTGGTGGAGGAAGGGAAGGAAGGAAAAAGAGTGCCAGATGCATTACATGGTGACATGTCTGCATTATTGTACATCCCAAGACTGGGATCTCCAGAGTCAGACCATCTCTGTTGCTTAGGGTTGCTTCATGGCTAAAGTTGTCCGAACAGCTGCAACAGGGAAGAAACTTGCCTTTTTATTCTTTAAAAGCATAGTCTGTGGAGACTGGATAAAGAATCAAAATGACACAACATTGAAAAGGAACCATAGGTTTCATGGTTCAGGTATTTAGTGACTGGCAGTTCTTTGTCTAAAAGTTTAGAGCATATTGATGCCCATCGCCAGAGGTGAAACTGGAGACCTTCCCTCTCTGCAGCTTCTGTTTTGGAATTTCCTTTCCTCTAGGAAAGTGGCCAAAACATCTGGCTGTGGACTTTGGGTTTTTATGCTTTTTTTTTTCCTGCATCACTACCAGCTCTGCAATGCCCAGCCTGATGGAAGGCTTGTACAGTTGAAAACTAGCTTTGGGGGTTTAATTTGTTTGTTTATAGTTTAGTAGTCTAATTATGATATCACACCCACTTTTCTTTGGTTCGCTTATAAATACCAGCTGACAGGGAGAAACTGACTTCAGGCACTTTCACAAAATCAGCTCCGAAAGGTGAATGAGACCTGAATGCTATAAAGATAGTGTCTTGTACTCCATATGACTTCCCTTCGCCTGTGTTTCGTAGTCTCTTCATCCAGACTTCATCATGCAAACCTTTAGAAGCTGCTAGGACAATTTTTTTCTAACCTAGCACATTTATTTATTTTTTATTTGATTTATATACCGCCCCTCTAGTGGACATACCACTCTGGGTGGTTTACAAATTAAAAACTCACAACTCCACACAACTCCAATATTGATACATCAATACGGTGGTTCAACAATCTAGATCTAAAATTAAATCAGAAAAGAAAGCACAAGAAAAAAAATGTTATCAGCATCTGGTGATAAGTTACCAAAGGCAGCTTTGTATAGTTCTGTCTTTACTAATTTCCTGAATGGCCAACATTCTAACAGATGTGTTGGACATCATAGGATTTGTAGTCTAACGCACCTGGAGAGTGACAGTCTGGAAAAAAAAGAAGCTGTTCTCCTGGAATTGCTTGCAGGCAGCACATGCCTCTGTGTCACCTGGGGCTGGTGTCAGACTGTCATCTTTTCAGGAAAATGAAGGCAATGTGACGCATCTTTGTCAATCTCATGGAAGGTTGTTTCCCCCCTCCCACTTATCTCCATTCACAGGAGCTGCAGACCCAAAGAGCTGCTTCAGAAACCTGCGCCACCTGTTTGACCATTGTTGCAGGTGAAACCAAAGAAACTGAGGTTGATAAACCATAGGAGCCTATGCTTTCATCTTAGCACCTTCAGCCGGCTTAAGTATTGTTCTCTGATACCAGCCTAAAATTAGCAGTAAAAAGAACAAGAGAGAAATAGCTGTTTTATGAACGATGACAGGGATGAACCACCCTAACTGTACAGTAGAAATGTGTCCTTCTCTGCCAATTACCACCCACCACCCTTCGAAATGGAAAACAAAACAAACACAAAAGCCAGACCATTCCTTCCCGTTAATTGTCTTCGCTGGACAACAACAAAGAAAAACAAAGACACTTACCTGCAGTTATTGTTTCATTGCTGCCCCAGAGTAAACTCTTTGTATATTCCTTTTCACTTTTCTTCCAGTGGATGAAATCTTATATTGACCAGGAGCAAAGCAATACTGATGCAGAAGCAGGCGATACCTTTATTGGACCAATGGGGGAGGGGGGGAAGAAGGTGCAAAGCACTTTCTTAAAGTAACTCTCTTTTCGGGGAGGGAAGCACCCCCAAAATGACAAGAGTTGCCCCTTCTCCTAGAACCTGCCTCTTGACGCGGGGCAGGGCGGGGGGGGGTGAGCCCGGCGTCGACTTCTAAACGGGACCCTGCCCCAGAAAGCGGATGCTCCGTTTAGACACCGAATGAGAGAAAGCAAGCGAGGGAAGAGACCGGAGCGTGTGTAGCAGACAGCAAAGCCCAGGGAGGGAGGGAGCGAGCGAGCGAGGGAGCGGGAGGGAGGGGGGCCACGGGGTTTGTTGCTGTTCGTGCATCGTTCAGCCACTGTAGGGCTTATTACATAGCAGAAATGTCCTGCGATTATCACACTGAACCCATCCCCATAAAACATAGGTTACAAGCAGCACCATGTGGATCATCTCCAGAGCTCCAGCCAGAGATTCATCCGATCCCTGCTGTGTTCCTCTCTGACCCTGAACTAGTTGATAGCCCTTGGCAAGTCCTTTGTTTCTTTGGGAAGAACATAGCCCTGTTAATCTGTTGCCACTATATATCTATCTATCAAGAGTCCTGTGGCACCTTAGAGACTTTTCCTTTGTGCCTTCTCCTTATGTAACATATTTTTTTTAGGATTCAGGATTATCCTTTCCCCAGCAGAGCTGGCAAATAGGTAGCTGGTTTCAGTCTGTTCTGCTCTCCCCATTCTGTGTGTGGGGAGACAGCTGTACAGAGCTGTGCTAGAAGAATAACACATTTAGCTCATGCAGTGCGGTAGTTGGAAAGCTGAACTGGAACCTTAAGCTTAACTAAGGCTTCAGTCCTAGCTAAGCTGCACATTTGTCTGGCAGTCCTCGGCAGAGTGCTTGTCTCTCAGCCTGGCCTACCTCTCAGGGCTCTTATGATGATCAGCTGGGGAGGAGGAAAGCCATGCACGCCCCATGAGCTCATTAAAGAAAGCCCTCAGGATATCTAGATCTATCATCTGCCTGGGATGTACGTTAAAAACTATTCAACAAATGAATTAATCAATGTGATTATTACATTTTTACGACACTAAGAGCCAAACCTTGAGACCCCTTTCCCTTGGCATGTTATTCTCTAATTCTGTCTATGCTTACTGGGACTAACTTCTACTGAGTGTACAGGGGGGATGTAAACATGGAGATGATTCTGCCACTTGCACATAGCGAAAAATACCAACTTACAAGCATGAAGATGCATGTATGATTATGAGTCCCAGCCAGCTATACATGATCCCCCTCCCAAATGAGATATGAGTCACGATGGATGCCCTCCAGACCCAGATTTGTACTGCACCAGGAAAATATTAACAATATATTGATGTTTATTTCATAAACTGCAAGAATCACACACTCAAGAAATTTATAGATGCACACATATTCCATCTCACCTGAAAGGCTTATACTCCATCCTATTTTCAGAGTTACGTTAATTTAAAGGGGAAGTTTTGGAAATGCTGCTTTTTCCATGAGAGTGATAAAGATTTGATGAGGCCCCAGCAGCATGTTTGTGATTAGAAGAGAAATGCTAATTGAATAACTGGCAGCAGCGAGCATGACTTAAAATTTCCACCACACCTCACTTTACTCAAAATTGGAGGCTCTTGCTAGACCAAGACATCTGAGGAATTTTGAAGAAAGCAAAAAAGGAAGGAAGAAAATAAAAGGGTGTTTTGATAAGACTCATGACGTTTGCCAAGGGGCTTCTCTGCACTCCTATTTTTGATGTTTCGTGCCTTCCATTAAAAATGGAATGAATGATCTGATGCTCAACCAAAAGTAATAATCATTACAGAGACAGTGCATCTGCAGCATTTTTTTAAAAAACGCTAGCTATATACTTGGGCTTCTCTGTTGGCCCAGAACATACAGTGATTCTAAAGGCACAACAGAATTTCAGACCTTTCAGCTTGAAATCTAGCCTGAATAGGAAGAATATTCACAAATGAGAACCTTTTCCTTGCTTTTTAAAGGTATGAGCCATCCATACCATTTCCAACTAAGCTTCTGTCTATCTCAGTAAGCAGCTTGCTTAGGAAGCTTCTCGTTCTGTTTTACAACCTGCACTTGAATCCCACGAAGTTCAAAGGGATTCATTCCCTAAGGCAAGAGCAGACAATCTTTGGCACTCTAGATGTTTGGGACCTCAATTCCCAGAATCCCCAGCCTGTATTGCCAATGATAAAGGACTGTGGGAATTGTAGCCCAAACCTTCTGGGGTGCCAAAGGTTTGCCACCCCTGCCCTAGGGACTCATGTTTAGGATTGCAAGCATAGGGTAACTGGGTTTCACAGTATCCTCCCTGGTCATTTATGGATGGCCTTCATCTGCCAATCCTTCCAGAGATGCAGTGCTGTTGTGGATTTCTCAGCAGACCAAATTTCAGGTCCTAAGTGGAACTTTGCTGTAAAACATAACCCAAGGGGTGTTTGTATCAAGAGGGACCAGATGGTTCAACAGATGAAAGAAAGCAGTGGCGTGTTTAAAACACAATTAGCTTTCATTCTACCATATTAGCATATCTTTTCAAGTCACCTGCAGCTTCCAAACATTCAGTAAATGAGCATATGCAGAGAAAGTAACCATGCCTGCTAATTTGATATGCAGGCTCTACCCAGAGGACTCTTGCAAGTGCTTTAAAAGCAAAGTGGGATCATATGGGATCCATTAACAGTGACTGCTTCAAGACTGGTGGTGCTCATGCAGTGCCCCAGGCTTTTGCTACAGGCAGTGTCAGAACAGAGTTCCAAACATGGAGAGCACACTCCCATCCATGTGTACACTTCTTTCAGGCAGAAGTAGTCCCAGTTTCCACCTAGCCATACCTAGACTGCACGGTAGCCCATAAGTATTCTTCTGTTCACTGGCAGGCTGCTTGGATGGAAGCATCTGGGTAAAGATGATGTAAGGTAAGTCTATGGTCCCTTGGATAGCTACATTTGAGAGTCAGTGCCAGTTTGGAAAACTCTGAAGATAATGGAATTTAATGATCTTAATAGCCCAGTGGTTTAGGTCTCTGGCAGTGGAACCAGAGGTTGGAGGTTCCGTGTCTCCTATTAGTACAGTCAGCTGTGTGGCCTTGGGAAGGCTGCACAGCCCCACAGCTGCCCCCAGAAGAGAATAGTAAATCACTTCTGTGTACTCTCTACCTAAGAAACCCTGAAAAGGGTCACCATAAGTCAGAAATGACAGCGCATTATTATTACTATCAAGACAGTTTGGTGAGAAAGCATAATAGACTCAGGTTGTTCCTTTGGCACATCTTTCATATAACTATTTGACAACCACTCAAACGTTCCCTGAAGAGCATGAATTTAGCAATCCAGTGTTTCTTCCGCCCCCCTATACTAAGCAGTAGTTGTGTTGTACAGAACACTTGTAGGAAACATGAATGATTGTGAAAGTTATTTATCTAGAGTACAGCTCCTAGAATCTTGTAGCCAGCCCGGCCGCTAGCCATGCCAGCTAGGAGGCTTAAAGGAGTTGCAGTCAAAACCAGTAACTTTCCTACATTATACTAAAAAACATAAGCAATGCCAGAGCACAGTCAGAGCAGTAAGGTACAACAATCCATTTAAAAACCCACTCAGGCAACTAATCATTAAGGGTAACTTTGCTTGAAGAGAAGTCTTTGCTTCCTTGCAGGAGGGCAGCAAAGATGGGGCCAGCCTGGCCTCCTTTGGGAATTCCAAAGTCTGGGAGCAGTAACCGAGAAGGCCCTCTCCTGTGTCACCACCAAACATGCCTGTAAAGGTGGCAGGACCAAGAGAAAGGCCTCTCCTGATGATCTTATCACCCGAGCAAGCTCATAAAAGAAGACACAGTCTTTCAGGTAACTTGGTATGTTTTGTCTGAAGAATGGATTGCCGACAGACTATAGGACAGTCATAGCTATTGTAACAGTTGTCACATAGGTGATGGGGGACATTTGTTCTCTGTTGCTCCATGCATACAGAGCTACGTATAACTAGGGCAAGTTTAGAAAGCACAAAAATTCACTGCTGGAAGGATCTGCAACCACTTGCAGCTACATCTCCCTGGGCAGGAAGAAGCATAAAAATGTGGATTTGACAGAGAGCAAATACAACCATTGCACATTCAGATCAGGATGCTCCTCTATATTCTTCCCAGGCCCTCTCTCTATGTGCGCCAATCTTAAGTGACCTAAGAGAACAAATAGGGCAGTGAAGCACTGGGTGCCAGAATTGCTCAGTATGGCTCTGACATGATCAGTGTTTGAATTATAAGAAAAGAGATTATGACTAAGCAGTAGAAAGAATATCCCAGTCGTACAAATTGTTCAACATGGGAACATATTGTCTCAAAATATTGGCAGACTCCATGGCACTAAAGTTTTTAAAGCTTAGGAATGCTGTTGCATTCATTGACAGGGATGTATTTCACACACACACACGCATTAGTTTGGGAACTTGGATTAGGCTTATCTATTATTCTAACAGACAAGAGCCAAGATCAGCCTGGCTTCTAGAACATGTTATAAGTTCAAATTCCAACACTATTGGAGCGCACTGCAGATGTGTCAGTCTAGATCCAGACAATGTTTTACCATAAATGTGTGGCCAGTGGCATTACTTGGATCACCCATATCCCTTAAGAACATTGAGTCAAGCTAGATGAATGAGCATCCCAATGTTTTCCCTTCTCCTGTCCGCTGAAGGCAAAGGATAAAGGGGTACTCTCTGTTCTACATTCAGAAGCCCACTGGGCTGGCAATTGAGTTTTACTTGGATACTGCCAATGGAATAGTGATCCTTTTGTACAATTCAGGCAGCCCATAATTTATGGGAGTGGCATAAGACAGAGTGTTTGGCACATACAGTTGTGCCCCTATAATAAAAGTAAAGGTTGGGGAACCCTTGAGGGCTACCGCTCTTCTTCCTCATACAGCACAGTTGATGATTGCCTCACTCTGCCAAATGGTACAGCC